ATTTGAAGCTCATAGCTATTTGTCTCACTGTGAAATGTCTATATTTACTTTTAATATATAAGTATGAAATTTTTCTACTGGTCTTCATTGTTTGAGTTTTCTTATATTTTTTGTTTGCGCAAATTATATTATTATTATTTTTTTCGTTATACTTGAAAAAGAAGTCGAATGTGAAGGTTATTCTCATAAGGACTGTAATCATCCTGAAAAAGGTATGTGTCTGAGAAAAAAGAAAGAAATGTAAGAAACAGAAGAGTATATAGAGGTGCAAGAATTTAGGTCCTGGCAGGTGATGTCACCGTTATGTCGTTCGTCTCTTCTTCAAATGACTTCGGCATTCTTGATCCAGAAAATGTAATTTGGTATTTCCTGATAAAAAAACTGATACGATATAGTATTTTTTTATTATGCTATTAAAAAAATTTTATCATTCTGTATTACATATTATAAAAAGTATATTTATATTATACCAAAAAATAAATTGTTATACAGTAAATTATTGGGTATTATTTTAATACCAATTAAAATAAGATGCAACGCTTTTATATATGTATTTACCAAATTTAAAAATGAATTTAATCCAGAAAATGGATTAATTAAATCTTTTATGATATATTAATTTAATCATAGCAGCGCTTTTTTAATATACCTCATATAGTTTACAATACAAATTTTCTGACGATAAACAAAAATTATTTTTTATATAATTATTTAAAAAGACCCCATTTCAAAAAGCTATTTTTACTAAAATTGCAGTAAAATTAGTTTCTCTCATTTGCATATGTAAATTGCAGAAATAAGACGACAAATACAGTGCGCACGCTATATAGCATTATGTGGTACATACAGTACGGTGGTGGGGGTTCAAACACAAAACACGAAAACTTTTTCTACTTTGTAAAAACTTTGTCACATTGATTATACTGTGTATGTATGTATACACAAGAAATGTTAATCGCGTTTAAAAAAAAACAGCTTGAGATTAAATTATACCAAAGTTTGCCTTTGAAGATAATTTTTCCGTCCCCAATTCGCGCGGCGTAAAAATATATATATACATCGCGCAAAAGAGAGATTATATAATTGATATATGCACATTAGCGACTTCTGCATAATGTTAATTGCAAGAATCGTCAGTTTAAAATGTGTAGAAAATGGACAAATTGCCATCGTAAAAGGGCATGCCCTCCGCAAAATATATATTAAACTTGAAACATATATAATTAATTTGAAAAATATTCACATTTAATTTGATCATGATTAATAAATCAACTCCATGTTACATTCTTGAGAAAGATAATTATTGAAAGCTTAATGAAGCCCTTGTACTAATTAATCTTTGCTTAACACCTGCGTTCATATAAGAGCAACCTGTATATGTATATATATTTGCTTTTTGGTTATCCGGTCCTTTATGTCAATATAACAAATGAGATTTATTCGTTTATGAACTTTCATTGAAGATAAATTTTATAAGTGCACAGTTATCAAATTAATCCTTGTAATGTAAAAATCTTTTATTCTTTATAGAAATTTGAAATTTTTTTTCGTGAATTTCTAGAAAATTGATATATAACGGTGCATTTATAAAAACTAACTTTACACGATAATATTCAAAAAGCGTAACGGCGTTCATGTAATCGAATTCATCCGATCTGACGGTTATCGATTGGATCGCTACACAAATTGGCCCCTGTAATAACAAACCTGCTGCTTACCTCAGGCAGGTTTTTAAAGATCGCGTACTGTTCAGCCTGCAGTGTGTTAATCGTTCGCGCCATCAAGACTTGGCTAATTCACAGTGACGTCGATGTTAGCAAAGAGGTTGATTAAAGGCCGGACTGCGAGAGGAAGATCGAATGATCAGCCGCTACCATTGCGAAAATAATGCCATTATTTTTCCCCAATATCATCAATCGGTTTTCTCAAGTCACCTCTTTACAAAACTCATATATGAACCTATCCTACAATTAATTTCATTTGTCCACTATAAGTAATTAATTTTCTATTCTGAAATACCAAATATATATGGTTTAATATTTAAAAGGACATTTAAAAGATAAAGAGACTTTTGAATATGGATCATAAGCACCTGGAACTTGAATATTATTTAAAGAAATAAAAGTCATTCATAAAAAGGGATCAACTTACAAATTGTATAAATATATCCGAGAGTATATATATATACATATATATACAAAGTTCTTGAAATACGATTTTACGAGGCTTTAAAGATGGAAAAAAAGAAGCAGTGGAAAGGAGATGTGATAGGGAGAGACAGAAATCAAAATGAAAGAAACTTATACTCTCTTGAACATTGGAGCATTATTTGTCAGCTTATGCGAATGGAAGGTATAAAAAGGGGCGAATTATAAGAATTTACGATATCTCACTTTCACCAAGGCTCTCTCACATCTCCTCCCGCGATGCAACGTAAAACTTAGCAGCACCTACCGCACTCGTGAATCGCGTATCCATGTACGTGTGTGTGTGTTTTTTCTTGCGTCCATGCAACACGTTTTTTACATTCCACCTACTATTTAGTGCCAGGGCAGCGTCATTAACAAATTATTCGTGGAAAAAAATTATTCTCAGAACAACACTCTATACCCCACAGTCTCTTCTGCCGTTAATGGGATTCCTTTTTAAAACAGAGCGACGGCCTTGCTTATGGCGCCTAAATTATGAAACACTCTCCTCTTCATATTACCAATCTAAAATTTTATTAACCAACGGAAAATGGCCAATTTCTGAAAAAAAAACGAAAATTTCAATTTTGAAAATGTTCACAATTGTGAATAGTAATACTCTAAATATGTTAGTGGAATTTTAACTAATCAACACTGATAAATATTTCTCAAATTATTTTCTGTATGCCTTTAGTTTACAATAAATTGTCGGTATTTATAGAATAATATGAGTTGTGCAAAAAAAAGAAATGAATTCGATTCACCTGAATATTGAATGTCGACAAGGATAGTAACCGCAGTTGGGGGTGAAGCGTTCAATTTTTGGGATTTAATCCGGTACAAAATGCGAACTCCCTCTGACGGCGCCCTGATGTGATTCAGTATATCTCACAGTGGGTGACCTCCCGCGCCGATATTTTCCAATATGCACCTCATTCTGAACCAATGCAACTTAAAATATACTAACGAAACTGTATATATATATACTTAAATAATGTTAATATCAATACTTCTTTGTTTTTTTTACTTTATTTTTTTGAGGTAGTTGATAAATTTTAAAATAATTAACAATTATTTATAAATTTGTTACAGTAGCCAGAACGTGTTCAATTGGCAATGGATTATTATAAGAGAAGTTTGTTGATGTTGTCCAGTGGTCAAAGCTCCCGACTCGTAATGAAAATCCAGGGTTTCGATCCTTTGCAGAGGTAAGATTTTTTAGTTTAAATATTCAAATTGAAATATATTTAATCTTAACCAAAACAGCACGTAAGCTTGCAACAAGTTTCATATGTCTCACCTGACACAAGCTTGCATGGTAAGCTTGCCGAAAGATTGCAGTGTAAGGTATCTGCAAGATTGCATGATAAGATTATCGCAAGCTTACATAGTAAGCTTGCACGGTAAGCTTGTGGCAAGGTTGCCAATAACCTTGCCCAATCAGCACAGAAGTTTGCATTGAAAATGCGCACTTGCAATCACAAGCACTTACAGCTGTGCAGTAAATTTTTTTGACCTACCAGGAACTGGTGCTCAATGTATGTACAAAAATAAATTTCCTCACCCTAAAAAATGTTTTGTTATATTCCGCAAGCTTGCGCCTAGCTTACCATAAGATTGCCGAGCAAGCTTCAACCTTCTGTGCTGATTGGCAAGGTTATTTAGCAACCTCACACCTACCTTGCGACAAGCTTACCGTGCAATCTTGCAGTAATCTTACACTGCAATCTTTCGGTAACCTTATCATGCAAGCTTGGGTCAGGTGGGACATTTGAAGCTTACGGCAAGCTTGCCGTGCAAGGTTGGCAATATTAAGAAGGTAGTATAATTAAAGGAAGAAAAATAAGTAGAAACAAGAAAAAATTAAAAGTATTCGAGTTTTTTTTATGAAAAAATTGCATTATGGCATCTGTACTTTTAAAATTTTTGTCATACTTCCGAGTTTAGTGAAATTGTAAATATTAAATAGATTTTTTTTTAAGTTTCTATTGGGATACGGGCCTGGCACCTCTCTCGTAGTCGCGGTTGGCGTCGGATGAGTAACGCGAGAGAACACTATCCGTTACGAGTGACGACGTTTTTACGAGCGACTCGGATTGTAATTCAAATATTTATCCGTCGCGGCTCGTTTGGGACTAGTTTACATCTTACGGGGAATTGGGATGGTTAGGGGGGAAGTGGGAATCAGGGTTGAAGGAAGGGAATGCCACACGCTGCGTCAGACCCGTACGTCATCCCCGGGGTGCGAAATCTCGAAAAGGTCCCGGTATTTCTGTCTCTCTCTTTCCTTCGCAAAATCGGTAATTGGGATTTTCGATGATCGATATCTCTTTCCCTTTGAAAAAAATGTTTTTTATTTATTTCCTTTTCTATGCTTCTATATACTATAAACTTATATATGTATATATACGGAAGGTGGATGTCTACCTACCAAATTTATAAGTGACAATTCCTCGAATATTTCTCGGATATATAATTAATGTAACATAAAATTAATAATTTAATTTTTTTTATTAAGTTGCAGTTAAATTATATCACGGAGAGACGGAAATAGTAGATTCTTACTGCCATAAGAGTAGAATTTACTAAACAGAATCGTTAGTTTTGGGTTGACTAAACAGTATGCTGTTATTTATAATTTTGAAAGATGTGCTAAAAGAAGAATGAGTGCTGTAAGAACCCCCTAGAATAAAGTCGGAAAAGCTTAAACTAAGTTGCGTAAACAGTTACTTAAATTCTGCGCAGAATATTAAGTCTTTTTAAGCGTCTTAGTTTAAGCTTTTCCTACTTTACGCCCGGTGATGTAAACGCTGGATCTAAATATAGATATGGCGCTATTTGTCGGGAGTATTAAATGGCGTATATTAAACACGTGGTGACAGATTCATTAGCATCTTTCTTTTCGTGTAAAACATAAAGAAATTTTTATTCGTATGCAATTAATAGTAAATTTTTCAAAAGGTGACACTTTTGTTTTTAAAGGAGGATCAATCAAAGAGGAGTAGCTAAAAATGCTAAAGGATCATTCAAGGAGGAACAATAAAAAATTGTAAGTAGAAATTGCTCTAAATGTTCTTATTTAAATTTTGTTATTAGTATAAGGCATTGGATAGAAAATCCGTTTCATTACTCTCTAAATCGGAATTAATAGAATTTTTACTTTTTTAATTACTTTTTTTATTTTACTAATGAATTTAGTAGAATTATTATGCAAAAATATAACTAATTAAAATTAGTTTTCACTAATTCAATTAATGAAATTGAAAAGTGGCGCGAAGATAGCGCTCCTAATGATAGAACGTCCAAGCGCCCATCCTGCTGGAAGGGTCTTCCGGCAGGACGCTTGGACAAGCCGCTGCGTACTGCCGGCAGGATGCTTCTCCGCACATTGCGCCATCCTGCCGGCAGGATGTTCCGTCATCCTGCCGGCAGGACGCACTTTATTTAAAACATATATTTCCATTAAATTTTCTTAAATTACCACATAAAATTTTATATATTATAAATTACCTTAAAAATTTCATAAATTACCATAAATTACCCTATAAATTTCCAAAATTAGTTTTCAAATTTTTCTTTTAGATATTATAAATTCCCGCATAAATTTCATAAATTACCGTATAAATTTCATAAATTACCGCATAAATTTCCTGCAATAATTTTTAAATCTTAAATTTTGTTTGTATTACAATTATAAATTACCTCAAAAATTTCATAAATTACCGCATAAATTTCCAAAAATTACCACGTAAATTTTCTGCAATAGTTTTTGAATCTTGAATTTTTGTTTGTATTATAATTATAAATTACCTCAAAATTTCATAAATTACCTCATAAATTTCCATAAATTGCCAAATAAATTTCCATAAATTACCTCATAAATTACCAAATAAATTTTCTGCATTATATATATTTTTTAATCTTGAATTTTGTTTGTATTATTATTATAACACTATGTATAAAGATTTGTATCCAGCGCAATTGCGGACGGATGAAAAAGACTCAGATGAGAGTCTTTCCGAAAAAACATTATAAAATTAATATGGATTCAGATAAACATAAAAAAATATATATGGTTCGAAAGGTAATTAAAAAAGCTATCAGATCATGTAACTATTAAGTTTCTAAATTTAAATATCAGGGCTGGGTAATCGTATCAATAAACTGAGAAGAGTCCTGCCGGCAGGTCCGGGCGTCGACGATCTAGCACTAAACATTAGGTCAGTTTTACAAAAATTTAACTTCTTTAAGTTGCCTAGCCTTGGGGTTTGAATTTAGAAATTTAATTTTTACATGCGCTGAAAGCTTGTATCTTTACCTTTCCAACCATATATATTTTTTTGTGTTTATCTCAATCCAAGTTAATTTTAGAAAGCGATTTCGGAGGGACTCACCTGAGTCTTTTTCATCCTGCAGGAAGGACGTTGGACGTTCTATCACTAATGTTCATTCTCGATAATACTAAACATCGCGTAAAGAATCAAATGACTTCTGCTTCTTTTAAAAAGATATAGCGCTATACTTGTCGGGAGTATTAAATGGCTTATACTAAACACGTGGTGAAAGATTCATTGGAATTTTTCTCTTCGTGTAAAACATAAAGAAATTTTTATTCGTGAGTAATAGTTAATTTTTAAGGAGGTGCCATTTTTGTTTTTAAAGGAGGATCCATCAAATAGGAGCACTAGCTTCAGACAAATTCAGAAAGGTTAATCAAGGAGCGTTGCAATCTAGGAGGAGAAATGCTGAAGGATCGTTCAAGGAAGAGTAGCTTCAGACAAATTCGGAAAGATTATTTAAGAAGAATCAATCTAGGAGAAGAAATGCTGATGGATCGTTCAAGGAAGAGCAGCTTCAGACAAATTCGGAAAGATTATTCAAGGAGAATCAATCTAGGAGGATAGAAATGCTGAAGGATCATTTCAAGGAGAAACAATAAAAAATTGGTAAGTAGAAATTATGCTCTAATTGTTCTTATTTAAAATTTAGTGTTAGCATAATAAGGCATTCGCTAGAAAATCCGTTTCGTTGTTCTCTAAATCGAAATTAATAGAATTTTTAGTTTTTCAATTATTTTTTTTCTTCAATTAGCAGAATTATTATGCAAAAATATAACTAATGAAATTAATTAAATTAGGTACACTATTAATAGGTTAGTTTTCAGTAATTCAATTAGTGAAATAAACGCGTGACGCGAAGATAGTGCTCCTAGTGTTCATTCTCGATAATACAAAACATCACGTAAAGCATCAAAAGGCTTTTGCTTCGTCGAATAATTTTATAAGTGTTAAGTGCATTCATCTAAATTGAAAAAATATAAATTCTTATTAGTATAAATTCTTTTCGTGTGCATATTTATTTTTTTTAGTTTCTTATAATTATTAATTTTTTGTCAAGGAAAATCAACACATAATTTTTTATTGTTAAGAATAGTTTTTATTTCTTTATGATAAGAACGTAAGCAATATTATATTATGCTTGATTATAAAATAAAATCAGATATTTACTGCATTAACCATCAGGGGAATAAGTATATATATATATATCTTTTATCACCAATAAAAACCGTCAACAAGTTAAAACAATTTCTTTTAGTGCAGAGTAAGTTATTTTTTGAGAAAAAGTTGATTTATATTATATATATATACAAACACATCAGTCATAGAAATATAAGATTACAACATACACGGAATTAACAGATCAATATAAAAGTTTTTTGTTGTTATCCTGAAAGGAAGGAGAAAAAAGTAAATGATAAATGTCCTTGTGTTTATTATGTTTTGCATTTGCGTAACTTTTTTAAAATAATTATTTCTTGATGTATATATATGTGATGAAATCGTCATTGGAGTAAAAATAAGAGCAAAATATATACTTTAATATTCGTTTATACAAAGTTTTAAATGCAATTATGCATATAAGCTTTGCAAACATCATGATATAATGCGTGGTAAAAAGTCAAATACGAATGTTTTTATAGTGAGTGCGCGCACTTTATATTGTATATATATCATATATGGCTCCTCCATATAATCGCACGCGGCGTTACTTACATACCCGCGCGTTTATATATACTAAATAAAACTTTCCGCATAAAAGCGATGAGGCACCTGCGGCAGCTTTTTATATCGGCTTGCGTACCTCGTTATTTCTGTAAATTGCCATTAATTAGCCCGACTGTCGCTTTCGCCGCTTCTGCCGATGGGCCGCGCACTCAAGTGCAATGGTATTGAGAGAGGAAGGATTTCGATCGTTTTATAGTGCGACGATCGTTACAGCGATAACGTATATATAAGGTATTCGCTTTTGGGACTTTGTAATAAGGTACTGCTCTTTTAGAAATATTTTTGAAAATAAATCGATATACACTACTCGTGTGTGTAACTGATATGTATATATACGCAGTCGTCGTAACTTGTATGAACATAACAATTATCGTATCTGAGGTGCTCGCGCTCGTGCGATGCAGAGAAGAAGACTATATATATATATCGTGGGCAATGTATAACAGACAATCGTATCGTAAAGTACAATATAAGCACTGCCGTTGCTTATATGTGTAAAGTCATAACAATTAAGATCGTATGAAATAATCGTCATTCGCAGATGGGTGAATTTATATATGCGACACATATTTTTACCTGTCAGACTTGTGGTCAATCTATAATTTTTTATCATTCATTTTTTTTTCTTTAATGATTTTTAAGTCTCAGAAGAATTATTTTTAAAATTTACAATTTTATTTCCTGTCGTGGGTAAATTTTTTATTTACTTTATACAACGTTTTGAATGACTTAATATATTTGCCTTACAGCTGCACTTTTTTAAAATGTATATATAATTTGATAAAAAAAAATATACTGAAATAGAAATATTCTGAGACTAATAAATATTTGACAGCTATTTTAAAAAATTTGATACAATTTATTCTCAAAAGTGTATATATATATAATTTCTGGTGTTAAGAGCGTATTCTCTACAAGTCGCAGAAAAGATTTAAGCTCTGCGAATCATGGAGATTCGAGTTTACATATACTGAATTTGAGAATAAATTGTCAATATGTGAAAAGAAAATTCTGTTAAATAGAAAAAAAAATCTTTCCTTAATATAAACTTTATGTTAATTTAAACTTTATATGTTTATAAAATTTTCTTTTCAGTTTGTAGGAGTCCGTTTCTTGAAGGATGGGTGTTTGTTGCGGAGCAGCTCCTGGAGGAGATCTGGCATAGCTGAGTCGCAGTTCAATGTAAGTTGATAACCTTTTACCTGAATTTTGAAATTTTAAGACTGATACAAATAAAACAGATTTACAATTTATTATAATGTAACTGATAGTTTTTAAAGAACACCCAAGAAGCACGTAATATATCCTCAATATCAAGGTAATATTACACGTGAGATTCGTAATATAACGCTGTAATATTACAGTAATCTTACAGTGATCTTAAAATGTCCGCCTCAAGGTAATATTACCGGGAATATTACTGTAATATTAACGGTAATATTACAGTAATATTACAGACTGATTTGAGTTATTCATAAAGCATAAAAAACGTAAATATATTATAAGTCAATTTGGCTTGTTGGTAAAACTCTGGACTCGTGTGCTTTGAGTTCGGGGTTCGATTCCCTGGATGGGTAGATTTTTTTCGTAAAGAAATGTTCCCATAATATTACTGTAATATTCTCTTGTAATATTACCTTAATATTACGTTATAATATTACTGCAATGTTACTGTAATATTACCTTAATATTAGCGCGTAATATTACAGTAACATTACCGGTAATATTACCTTGAGGCGGACATTTTAAGATCACTGTAAGATTACTGTAATATTACAACGTTATATTACGAATCTTACATGTAATATTACCTTGATATTGAGGTTATATTACGTGCTTCTTGGGCAGTAATTACTGAGGAATATTTTATCTCTTATAGGGGAGAGTGGACAACGTTGGATCATTTCAGTTTTCCAGAAAATTATTTAAAAATCTCTACCAAACTCCAAAAAAGGTATAAATAAAGTCTAAATATGTGACGCTCCACGAGAGAAGGATCACCATACGTCAAAAAAGTTTTAGGTTATGTTTGTGATTTTTGAAATGAAAATACTCATACAGAGAATCAACTCTTAATATAAAACATTTATGTTCAAGTCTTCATTACATTCAAAAAATTCAATAAAATCTAATTTTGATTTTACCTTCATAAAAAAAACTTTTTATGAAGGTAAAACTATCGCAAAACATAACCTAAAAATTTTTTGCCGTAAAGTTTGTTCTTTCATATGGAGCGTCACATATAGTTACTCATAATTTATTTTCTATAACATAGTAAATTAATATAATTTTTTTTTAATTTTTCAGGCAGTTGGTTCTAGTGAAAGTGTTTACAAAGTGAATATAGTGTCATCGTATCATCGTCACAATGTGAGAATTCCAATTATCAACCAGAATGACAGGAAGGATGTGGACGAAGAAAAACGGTCCCAGCATGTTGCCAAATTTTTCAAAAATAGTCTTTTCTTTTATTTATTTATTTATTTTTTTTGCTTGGCAACATCGCTCTCGATCTGCGCAGAAGTGCAATCAAGAAGCAGAGATCTTCGAGAGTGGCCACAAGAGGAAGGAGGAACAATGCAAACCTTGTTCCGACGTGGGATGTTCGCCGATTGATGAGTCGTTTTTTAATTTAACCCCTTCCCTGTTTGAATTAATTAATTAATTTTGATTTAATTGATTTTCTTTAAATTTATTTATACAGTTCATTAATATTTATAAATTGAATATTAAAATTTTCGATATCAATTTTAACTTATGAATTTTGGAACATTAATTTTTTGACTTTATTTAAAATATAAATTATCAGTCTCATTCAAACAAAACATTTGAAACAATTTTTTAAACAGGAAAGGATATTGACATCAACATAGTGACATTACTGTTTATATTTATTATATATATGTTTATATTATGTAATTTGTTCAAATATTTAGTAATTTTTTCTTATTCAAAGTAATTTCCTTTCTTTAAAAAAAAGTAATTCAAAATAGATTTGTTACATTTAATTAATTTCAAAGTTATTAAATATAGATTTTTCTTGTCTTGCATGTTAAATTTTCAATTTTTGAAATTAAAAATTAATGCATGTAAAATTTAAATAATAATTTATTTGATAATTTAATTTAATGACTAATTAAATAGTTTTTCTTTCAGAAATTTGCGCTCAGGTGACGGTTGCGTCCCGGGACGTTAAACCTAGTGTAGGTCTTTGCACCTGGGCGTTAGGGAAATTAGGAATTTTTCTTTTCATTTCAAATATAGCTATAGGTAGGGAAATCGGGAAAGTTTTTTTCGTTTTAAATATAGCTATAGGTAGGGAAAATCGGGAATTTTTTAGCCGCTTTAAGTAATACAGTAAAAATATATTTGTTTGAAATTGTTTGCATTTGTTTACACGGAAAAAAATTATCTTGAACAACAAAAAGATTTTACTAGAATAGTGGAATATTTAATTGCAATAATTGAAACATTTTGCTATAGTAGTGAAACTTTTCGCTGTTCCGTAAATCTTTTTTCCGTGTATCTTTATGTCACTATGTTGAGTCAACTTTTACTTTAGTATTTAATAAATTTTTTATTTATATTATAAATTGTTTTGTTCTTGTTTAATTAAGATTTTACTTTCAGTTGAATCATCGTGGTGAGCAATAATATTTTTGTTACCTTTTTAATTTGTATTAATGATTTATTTTTTCAGGAAAATGTAAAAATGTTTAATTTATTCTTATAATTATTTAATTATATTATTAGGTACATTTATATTATACCTATTATATTTTATGTTATATTATACTATATTTATATTATAATTATTATTCTTACAATTATTAATTTCTGATAATCTATTTATTGTATTATATTTATTTTTTTTCTGTTTCGTAAAAATAAGTTTCTACTTTTTAAATAATGTAGCGACAAATTTTTATATTTATTAAAATTTGACGTTATACAGTAGAAAAATTTTTTTACTTACAAAGATTTTCACTGAAAAAAATATACTATTGAATCAGAATCTCTGGTGAAACGTATAAGAATTATATTGACTGAAAAACGTGTTATAGAAGTTGTAAAATATGACAAATTCTACAGCACATACTTTTTAATCAATTTTTATGCATTTCGTAGAAATTTTGTTTCAGTAGTATATTTTTCTCAGTGTAAGACAACATAATAATTTTAATCACTATGTATTGCAGAAACAAATTAAAAGAAATCATAGTCATCAATATCATTTTAATATCATCACACCAGGATGAAATAGATGTCTACTCCCGGATGGTTTGCAGAATTTACCAACGGCTTGTGTATTGTTTTTTGAAAAGTGAGTATAAGTTTTCTATAACTTATATATGAGAGAGAATTTTTTCGCTATCTAAACTTAAAAAAAAGCATCGCAACAAATTTTAATATAAATTTAAATATAAATATAACTAAAAATGTACTTATTTAAATTAATCAAAATGTATGATTAAATTCTCTCTGTATAGTAAATAAATTAATTTGTGTAATTAGAGAAGTAAAAAAAATTTATTTAGAAAAAAATCTCATCGTTGAGATAATTAGGTAATTAGATGGAATTAAATTATGCTAAAGGATAAAAAACAAATAGCGAAGTGCTTTTTTTAATTCCTCTGCGTCACTTAACTAATCTTATCAGAGGAGAAATTCCTTGTCAATATTTTAGTAATCGGATGGAATGGATATATGTATAGGAGTTGGTTCTTATGTCAGTTTTTATACTCCTAGGCTCGTCAAGTTGTGTCAGCTCGTGTCAGTTCGATTGGCAGGCGGGATATATATATATATAGTATATATAGTTGGGCAAAACCTGCAGACGCGGGGCAAATATGTGCGCTTCCACCTGCCCTAAGATCCTCGACGCGCACGATGCCGATGTTGTCTTGCGATTAATATGCCTATATGCAGACATGGCGCTCGATTCGTATCTGTATCCATCTACCCGTCTTTTTAGCGATTTTGCAGTTTGCCGCGGCAAAAGAAGATTATAGCACTATATTTAACGCGTGTGCGACATAGGGTGTGGCTCGCGCTGTATATAATCAATTGAATTTATTTCCTATGTCACGATTAATCACCCTAACAATACTAATTGGCAGACGCCTTTTTATCCTTGGAGAAAGAACGTGTTTATTATTTTTTTCGGAGAAGAGTTCTTGTAATTAATAATTATCAATTTTCAATACCAAAGAATTTTCATCTTACTGAATTTTTTATTTAATTGAATTTTCATTTAGCAGAACTTTTATTTAACTGAAGTTTTGTTAAATATAATTCTTAGTTTAACGAATTTTCATTTGATAGATTTATTATTTACTTGAATTTCCATTTAGCCGAATTTTTAAATAGCTATAGTTTTAAATCACACACTGAAAAAAAATTTATTTGATTCTAATAATTGGTTACTTGACTATTATCAAATAAATATTTAATTAAACCAAAATAATTTTTATTTGAATTGAGTAAACTATTTGAAACAATAATTTCTGTATTTGTAACAAATACCATTTTATTGACTCAAATAATAATTATTCAATATAAATAAATATTTATTTGATAATAGTCAAGTAACCAATTATTTGAATCAAATAAATTTTTTGTTCAGTACACATGTTTGAGTACGCGAAAAAAAATCTTCACCTGGAACAGCGATACGTTTCACTGGAACAGGGATATATTGACTAAAACAGCGAGAGTTTTCGCTATTCTAGATATACATATCGCTGTTCCAGAGAAAGATTTTTTTCCGTGTACGAACTTTAAAATTATGGATAAAAGATTTACCTCTGAAACAGCGAAAAAGGTACATTTCACAAAAATATCAAAAGTTTTAATTGTTTCAATTAAATCGTTTATTATTCTATTGAAATATTTCATTGTTCCAGGTAAATCTTTTTTTCTTTGCGGTATGAAATGTCCAATTACTATTTTCAAGTATTTTTTTTTTAAATAAGAAACCATTTTTGACTCTTTATCTTTTTTAAAAATCGTTTTCTTCCCAGATTTGACAACATGAAATTTCATTTGAATTGCTTTAAAAAAATTGCAAATTTTACAAATGTATAATGTTTTTACGGATAAACTTTTTTTATATTATGTTTTTAATTATGTTTGGTGATTAATTGATGACGATAGAAATCTTTAATTTGCCTCTGATATAAACAAGTGTTTTGGAATGATATTTCCAAGGTCTCAATTAATTGTAATTCTGCAGAAAGATGGCCTAATTGTCTTAGCATGTACCTACACATATATATATTTTGTCACTTGAGGGACGAATTAATTTAAATCATGGTTACGTAAAGGTTGTTACATTAAACTCATTTATCAATTTACACAGGAAAGGGGAATAATAAGGGGCTGAAACCATTTGGCTTTTACACGACTTGAAATAGTTTCACGTGATGAATTTATAATTTTGTAATTAATGCCTCTTTAATGTATTTAATTTTACACTATATAGTATTTACTTTAATCATTCCTCATTATTAGAATTTATCTTTTAATTGGATTAAATTCGATGTCAAAATATAGCTTTGCATGAGAGAAATTACTATGTATGTATATACATATAATTATTTATTATTTCTTGTAAAATTTTCTTATGTATAAAAATACATATATATTATATTATAAAATATATAGTATATATATATTATCGAACTTGATATCGTGTGGCAATTAAGGATTAAATATGTGAATTATATGATTTTGGTTGACATATGTTTATGATATTTGGAAGAAAGCTGGAAATTGATTTTGAAAAGAGGAAGAATGACTTTATGGGATGAGAATTAAGAAAGGGGTGAAGGAAGGTTGCACATATTATATGCGAGCGTTGTTCATTTGCGCGCTTAATCTTTCATCGTAAATCCATCGTTAAATAACGCGTTTGGCATCAGGTCTCCTAAATCCTTTTGGTGGGGATAATCAAGCCGTTCATTAAATGAGACGTTGAGGCTGGTTTATGAGAGTTCGGAAGTTATTGTCTGTGCGTGTGTTTAAGACCACGCCCGTCAAACTTCGCATAATGAAACATAAATGTGGTAGTTTTTTTAATATACATATATGCGCACACGTCATCTTAAAACATAAATCAAACTTTTTTTTTATTTTCATAGAAAACTTAGATTATTTTAAAAATATTTTTATATAATTTTAAACTTTTTATATATAAGTAAAAAGTGTAGGATTTAAAAAAAAAGAAATTCTAAAAAGGAGAAATTTTAAAAAGACTTTTTGAAATGACGGAAGGATCTCGGATAAAAATCAATTGTATATAATAAAAAGAATCGGAAAGAAGAGGTGGAGGAGGGAGGTAGTTTCTTCTTGTGGTTTTAATGAAATTCATCCTGCGTCTTTGTCGGTGTCAAGATAGGAACAACTTGTGATAATATGAGTGCATGTTGACTGCATTTTTGAGTGTCCGTGTGGTCGCGACTTGTCTATACATGATGTACGACTTTCGAGCGAATCTTCGTTTGACTAATTCCGCCTAATTACGACAACGAATAACAAAGAGACCGCTATGTTTCCATGGATCTTATCTCACTTATTTGGAAATAATGACTGTTCACGCATCGGGAAACTTATTTTGTGTCTGATGTGCTTTTTTTTTTTGTTTTTTATTTTTGTCGGGAAGTCAATATTTTTATTTTTTTATGTTCATTCATAATATGTTATTAAAAACTATATATCTCTACTTCAGAAAAAAATATTTATTAACATTTTGATAATAATATTTTTAAATATTTTGTGTTTCAGATTGCAGCAAAATCCATTTAAAGTGCCAAAAGTGCAGAATAAAGAACAAAACAAGACGT